TGTTTGTCTGAATCTAAAACATACAACTCAATAAAGGAAAAATGGCAGTCTGCTGTAATTTGATATGAATTATGTCTCACTTGTAAGGTACAGAGACAAGCAGAGAAGCGTGCACACTAAATCTGATGAAAAGCTATTGTTGTCATGTTTTACTGGGTTCGATTCCCGGCCGGGCGACCAGGGTCATTTCTGTGTGGAGTTTGCCTGTTCTCCCTGTGTCTGCGTGGGTTTCCTCCGGGTGCTCCGGTTTCCTCCCACAGTCCAAAGACATGCAGTCAGGCCAATTGGACGTGCTAAATTGCCCCTAGGTGTGTGTGAATGTGTATGTCTGTCTGTCTGCCCTGCGATGGACTGGCGACCTGTCCAGGGTGTATCCTGCCTTCCGCCCAATGACAGCTGGGATAGGCTCCAGCACCCCACCGCGACCCAGAAGGATAAGCAGTTTAGATGATGTGTGTGTGTGTGTATACTGAAAACAAACTTAAAGTCAAAAGTGCAGACTCAAAGCTGTTCATTTTAAATGCCATTTTTTATGTAACTAGTTCTGCGATTATGTAATTACGTTTAAAAAGTATATCAAAATGATGATAATCACTAGAGCTGCACTGTTAAAAAAATAAGAACAAAAACAGTAAAGAGGTCTACAAAACTGTCAGATAAGGGTCTATGCCTGTAGTGCAATGACAGAAGTGAAGGTCCTGCAAAAAATGCCAGCAGAAAAAAATATTTCTCGGAAAGTATGAACGTAGGTAAGTTATTTCTATAACTGTAATTACAATGCAAAACCTTAAACCTCTCATATTTTTTCTAATTTAGTCATGACCAACTCCCCCACTAGTAAGGACTTGTCACTTTAAACAATGCAGCTAACACATGATCTCTTGAACTGCAGGCTAAAGATTCAAACTCACAATCATATTTCTCATTTCTCCCTTTATTATTGCGAGCTGTTATTTTTTTATATTGACCATATTCACCAGATATTTCTGCAAACTGCAGACATTAAAATAAGCTTTTATTACTGTGGATTATCAGTCATTGCCTGGTTTATACCTGAATAGCTGTGTACATGCATTACAAATGGATGTATATGGAAATAATATGGAAATAACTGCAAAAAAAGGCATTTATGTACATAGCAGTTAGATAGAATAGTCGTTCAGTGAAAACTGTGTGTGTGATTTGTTCAACAGAAGAGAAATAGTGTAGAAGCATTTAATCAAGCAATCTGCAAAACATGTAGCAGCAGCACAGCTTACTGAAAAACGTCTGCCATAAACAAATTTGCTGTTAATGGGTTAGCTGTGTTCTGTAAAATCCAAGAACGAAATAATAACCATGTTTAATCTTATCCATTGTGACATATTGGGGAAATAACATAAATACATGGTTGTCCAATACTTGCCTTTTAAGAAATATGCTCGAAACCAGCAAAATGATCTGCCAGTATAGTGAGATAATTATACTCGATAAAAGTACTTAAAACAAGTAAATAATGTCTAGAAATAAGCAAAATAATCTTAAAATAAATGCACAACCACCTCAAAATAACGGAAATATTAGATGTATTGGTTAGATTTAAGATAGACAAGCCGCTTATTGGTGTAATTTAGAACTGCATGACTGAAATGGAACTTCCTGATATTCTGTGATATTAAGGTAATTCACTCTGTATCATAAAGATATTGAAATTCAATATCAGCCCTAATAATAACCCTGCAGTTCAGTGGATTAAATAGGTGAATAAGGTAAATACACAAGCATGTGCAGCAGGCTGTGTCCCCAAGACTGGCTCTGAGAGCTGCTGGTCAGCAAAACACTTTCTGAAAGATGAAATACTTCAAACCAGTTTCAACTGGATTTCACATCTGATGCGCCTCAAGAGCATCCAACGAGCTGTTTGTGATCACGTGATCAGTTGATATTATGCAGAATCGTGACTGGTGCACCTCCTAAACAGCTTCTTACTGCAATAAGAGACAACTGGCACAAGAGAAAAATCACGATATGTGTCCTAGGATGAAATTACATTTCCAGTCTCAGAACTCACAGTTCCTCTGCATGATATGGCTCATTCGAATAAAAAGGCTTAAATAAGCGTAAATTCTCCTCAAATTGTACTGATCTTGACTTCGTTGGGGAGCCCTATTGTTCCTGTCTGACAGAAGCATTCAGCCCAGTCCTTGAGGAACCAGAACTCAGTCTGAATGGCTGCCAAATTTGCAATGGTGGGATGTCATCTGAAGAGGAGAACACCCAAATTGCTTCTTTTCTTCATTCAAACCCCTGAGAAGTGCTGTAATGCTATATTTGAAACTGAAAATTGGTTCTTCTTCAAAGGAGTTTAAGTCGGCACTGGCTTGTGACCACTGGAACTGAAGATAATGAAATGAATACATGATGTGCTCATAAAGATTTTAGGAGTTTTTGGGGGAAAATGAGCATAAATTTAAAATAATGAAAATGGACATTTTTCAGGCCAGAATGTTTTTGGCCAAAACCATTTCATGTAATAAGTTTCTGTGAGGGAGCTTATAGAGGCATTAAACCCTTTAGATGCCCGGCTCCTATCACCACCACTGTGAACAATTCTGACCTGGTAACTTTGTCTAGAATGTAGCATTTCACACCAAACCACTCTGAATGACTTTGTTTCCATCACAGTCATTTTAATTATGTAGAAATTTAGAAACATTGGGGGGAATCTCACTTTAAATCATATAGTGTCCTTTTCCAAAGGACTACACTACACTAGTACAAACACCATGACAGTGTAAATCAAAATGTACAAATCTACACATAGCAACACAGTTCTACGACTCTGTTTCCTAACAAATGGATTCAAGGAAAGAATCTGACAGGGTAAGACTGCTGCCTGCAGTGAACAGGCTCTCCTTAACTGGTGCATGTGCTATTTTCTCTGTAACGTTGACAATATTCCCCTCTCATTAGAGCTGGCTGACCAGGTCAGCAGATTGCTGCTCTATCTGCATCAAGTTAAAATCTTAGCGAATGACTGCTGTACAGCTGCAACATAGAAGGTGAAAAAGTAGTCTAAATGTGTGAAAAGTTTTAAATGTTTGGAGTTAAGATACAGCTCTCTCAGTTGTCAGCATGTCCATAATAGAAATTCTGAGTCAAAGTTTTTGAAAGAAAAAATCCTGTAATAAATCCTGTAATTAATAAACTAATCCTGAAATAAACTAAAATCTTCCAAACCTGATGTGTGTTTTGTCTTATGGACTTTTCCCCCTAATATCCTGGGTCCTCTGTATTACGAGATTGTTAGTAGTCAAAATATGAATAATGATACATACATGCTACAAGCAAACACTCCTTGCACTGAAATAATGTTGCATAAAGGTAAGTCTACTATTAAACATCAACGCTATTATATAACAACACTAGCTACTCAAACTCTACTACAGCCAAAGCAACTTAACTTGCACACTTGACAAAGCTTGCTGGTTGGTTTCCAGTCTAATGATGTCAGTTCAGTGTGCAGCAGTGTTAGCTTGTAGCATGTAGCAATATTCATACTTTGGCTCCTTAACAACCTCATAATTCAAAGGATCCAATGATACTCAGAAAAAAATTTATATGTAAAGCAAAATGTATCACCTCTGGAACATTTCTGTTTACAACGGGATGCGACAGCAGTGGTTTTCGAAAAATGCTATTCATTTTTCCCATAGATAAATCTGCTTAGACCCAGAGGCCCTAATATGGTCATTAATGATGACACAGAGGTCTATGCTATGGGTAGCTTAGTGATAACACAACATTGCAAATCTGAAAGTAAATAAAAAGGTTTCTGCATTCAACACTGATATGTAAAAAAAAGAATAATCAATACATTGTGAACACTGAGATGTTGTAAATAACAATAAAGGCAGCAATGTCTGCATCAGAAGTCTGTTACCCGAAGTGAGCCCGTTGTTATGAAAAAATATTGTGTTTTAGGCCAGATTTGGCCAATTTTTTTTACACAGAACTTCAGGCTCAGCTTGGGCTCAAGTTTGTTTGATAATGAGTGCTTTTAATGTAAATTTCTGCACTCTCAGGCATGCTCTATCTCTCTCTCGCTCTTCCACTCTTGTAAAGTTTTAGTCCATAGCTGCGTTCGGGGAACAGCTCTAGAGTTTGAGGAGTGCGTGAACGTGTCCCTGAATGAAACTAGGAAATAGCAAATTCAACAGAACATCAATCTCAGTGACACCATGGATGATGAGAGGGACGTGTTGGGTTGGTGAAAGGTCACAGCAGATCTTTCCCTTTGCTTGGATGCTGTTCTCTGTGAGGTACAATCAGTAGTTCCACAAACATACACCGATCAGGCATAACATTATGATCACCTCCTTGTTTCTACGCTCATTGTCCATTTTATCAGCTCCACTTACTATATAGGTGCACTTTGTAGTTCTACAGTTACAGACTGTAGTCCATCTGTTTCTCTGCATACTTTGTTAGCCCCCTTTTACCCTGTCCTGCAGTGGTCAGGACCCCCATGGACCCTCACAGAGCAGGTAATATTTGGGTGGTGGATCATTCTCAGCACTGCAGTAACACTGATGTGGTGGTGGTGTGTTAGTGTGTGTTGCGCTGGTCTGAGTGGATCAGACATAGCAGTGCTGCTGGAGTTTTTAAACACCTTAGTGTCACTGCTGGACTGAGAATAGTCCACCAACCAAAAATCCAGCCCACAGAGTCCTGTGGGCAGCGTCCTGTGACCACTGATGAAGGACTAGAGGATGACCAACACAAACTGTGCATCAGCAGATGAGCTATTGTCTCTGACTTTACATGTACAAGGTGGACTAGTACCTGCTCGGGTCAGGTTTGAGTTCGGAGTTTAGCAGTACCAGTTGGGGCTGGTCAGGTCCGGTCTCAAAGTTGGGGATATATGTCGGCTATGGACTTCGGTTTCAGACCTCTAATGTGGATGTACAGTATGAGATTGTGTGCATGTGATTGTCTATGGCTGAACATGACCGACTCACCGTGGAGCAGCACATGAGAACGATGATGAAAGCCTCAATGACTCCACCAATGCCCACCATCCAGGTCATCCTCAGAAACAGAATCACGCCCAGAATGTTCTGCATACAAGGGAGATACACTCCCATCAGCGTGCCCATCCGCGGAGCCTGTGAACACACATTGAGAAAAACCATTACTTATTTCCTGAAAAACAATGAATCATCTTTGGAAAGCAGCTATTTATTCTGTCCACAATTATCAGTTGGGCTATTGTTTTTCTTACGTTGTTAACATAGCTCAGCCTCCGTAAATGTGTGTGTAAGTGCCTTTAATCTCCTGATTGTAAATACAGTAATGTTTGTGTCTGTGATGAATGTCTCATGAGAAAGGGGGAAATTGCTGCTCCCAGAATGACGGAAATGGAGAGTTTGGAGTGGCATCTTTATCAAGATGAAGCGAGTGGCTGAACTGATTGCATTTGACAAAGAAAACGATATTATTGTAAAAATATTGCAGTTCACTAGAAGGAAATTGTACCTGCTATTGAATATGAGACTTAAAACTTGCAGAAAAAACGTTATCTGTCTCCATGTGCTATGAGTTTCCTGAGTCTTAAGCATAGTTATGCATATTAGGTATACATGCATATTAGATATAATTATCTATTATTATTTATTAACTCTTTCTTAGCAAGAAAAGACTATAAAACATATCTAAACACTTCCTGCTTACAGGTTTCACTGTCCCAAATGTCATTTAGAAATAAAAGTTAGGGAGAACTTATACATACATTGCCATAACACAGATGCGAAAGTGTAGCAAAAATTCTACTGTTACAAAGACATCTTTTTATCTTTTGATTTCTTTACATTTCTACGTACAGAATGCTGATACTTTTAATGCAAACCAATAAAAAAGGTGTAACATTTCAGTTGAAAGATACTCCTGTCACATCAGGCAGATGTACCAGATGCTCACGGAAGTAAAAGGAGGGAGCTTTATTGGTAGTTGGGCAAAGCAAGGGGGTAGTCAGTAATCCAGGCCAGGTCAGAACCAAACAGGTACATCAGGAAACCGAGATCCGAGTCCATAAACAAGCAAGGGTCAGCAGCCAGAGAAACAAACACCAAAACAAAGTACAAAGGAAAATCCGACAGGGTCAACAAGGGCCAAAAAGGGTCAAAAACACAGGAGGCAAAAACAGAAAGAACGCTCAGTACACAACAGACAAGGCACTTGGCAATACTTTACAACAAGTGAACAAAATGAACCAGTATATGTACAAACAGAACTAATGAGAGCAGGGGAGAGTGATTAGCTTTCAGGAGAGGAGGATCTGTGTATGTGTCCATGATTGGCTGATGGCGGGCTTGTGACTGTGACATCAGAACCAGATGCATTATAGGAGTTGGAGTTCACAGGGGTGGAGAGGCCAGCAAGGTAAAACTGGGTTAAATTAAAGTTGACTGTATGTGAAATAATGAAAGTATCTAAAACACAGGGTTCAAACATGTCTAAGCAAAGGCTGCCTAAAAAGGGGAGGTGGTTCAACAGGTGCTTGAGTATGAAAACCATCATGATTATATTGTTCGGTGTACCTTTGTCGAACCAAAGATACAGAACAAAACCTGTAGTGATTGAGTTATTTGTAACTCTGCCATAGACATGACCTCTCAGCCCGCACTTCAGCTCAGGAACAAATGAGAGATTGTCATTGTGTTAGAGCTCAATGTGATTATGACACTGGCCTGAAGTGTTCTAATAGAGGTAACAAACTGCGGTGCTTTTGTGTCCATGTCGAGGAGGGGCATGTAAAGAGAAGCTGACAATTACTGACATTAAATGAGTGAAGGCCAGTTTGGAAGTGTTTGACTGATTGGTTTATTCCTTCTTTATTTCTTTCACTTGTGTTTTGTGGATTTACACTGATGGAAATCTCAGCCAAACACATACAACAGCAATAGGTTTAATTGTCAGTGACATACAATGAAATAATAAATAAACTGTATGTGAAGAGAATTAGAGAGAAAAATCAATTTCTGTAACAAATCCATCCTGAAATATTGCATACGTGTGATGTGATGTTGCTGGCTGTGTGATAGTAGAATGAAGTAGTTACGGCATGATTTTAGATGCACATTCAAAAGCTTAGTCGTTTAGTAGCTTAACAGTAGTAGTAGAGGAAGAGATAATAACAGATTAGTATCTGTATCAGCTGACGCTCAAGGTTTGAACATCGGTATCAGTATTGTAAACACAGAAATGGCATTATGCCATCTCTAGTGAGAATATATATGCACAGAAAGAGTGAAACTAAGAAAAACATTAAACATAATATATAAAATGAACCATAAGTTGTACACAGGCCACCTTTTTTGTATTTTTATTTATTTATTTTTTTTCAGAGAATAAACAGTTATTGTGCATTAAGCTGTGTAGAAGTTACCGGGGTGCCCAAACTTTTGCATACAGCATGTAGTGTATATATAAACAAAGTAATTAAATTATAACAAACTAGTTTTAGTCCAATATTTAAAGACTTCTGTAAACAAGAAGTTAGTAAACAATGAATAACATACTGTAATGAGCTATTTACATATTTGATGTAAAAGTTATTTGCTTTCAGATTTGAACACCATTTTTGAAAAATGATAAATTCTGCATATTCATTTTCTTAGAACTTAATTTTCAAACATTTTTTCATTCTTATTTACAGCTTCCTATTGCCTATTAATTATTATCTGTTATACAGTTATACAGAATGAGCATATTAGAAACATCTTATACAACCAAATTGGCTACATTGTATGGAAAACACTGATTCCAAATTTTTGAACAATACTATACATCCGAACACAGTGTGTGTGTGTCTGTGTGTTTGTGTGTGTGTGTATGTCAATCTTTATACTGAGTTGATTTTAGAATTTCACAACAGTATTCACACACACACACACACACACACACACACACACACACACACACACAGTCAGATGGTCAGGGGTCTGAAGTAACAGCAGATGGCAAGCTAAGAAATGGGACTTTTAATTTAATTAATGTGAAATAAATAAATAAAAAAATGACCCCACATCGCCTGTCATTGAATTCAATGTCCACCAAACACCTCTATGAGGGATAATTTGATTCTGGCTGGATGGATTCATTTTGTAATTAATGTAATTTAATATAATGTGTATGGAAAAATGATGTCTGGGCAGTTATAACATAATAAAGTTGTATTATTAAGTGTTATAGGAACTGGAGCTCGCTGTAAAACTGAAATCCATACATGTCATTATTTCTTTGGAGTCATGCATTGCCTAACTGCTTCTCATCATTTGAAGTTTACAGGCTAACATTCATAAGTATGTGTAGTTCAATAATGTAATATGCTGGGGTTATATGGACTTATTTGCATTTATAAGCACTGGTTTCTGGATACGTTTAAACTGTATTCCAGTACTGATTACTGATTATTTTTAATATCTAATCTGTAATCTAATCCAAAAGATTACGATATTAAAATAACGTAATCTTATTATTTTCCATTCCTTTTGAATAACTTGAGAAAACAGAGATTGATGGAGTTCACAAACATCAAAGAGACGGCAACTGAAATAATCTCACATTTTCCCTGTCTGGAAACTCATATTCGGTGCGCAGGAATGGTTTTAATGTAATCCTGCTAAGTAATCACCCTATTTTGTTTATCAAGTATCCAATTACTGCCTTTTTAAGTAACTGTAATGCAGTGCAGTCACCTTTTTTCTGTATCCTGATTACGTAACACTGTTAAATGTATTCTGTTACTAACCATGTTGCACTGCAAAAAAAATGTCAGTATTCTGTCTTTGGAGATTCTAATATCCACCATCTGCCATTACGAAACACTGAGCCCAGAAAGACTTTAGACCTGGGTCTTTCAGTACCAAAGACCTGGGCGATGCGTCCTGCACTAGCCTGCACAGAGAAAATGTCATTTGTCTTTGTGTGCCTTCCCTGTATGCTAATGCCTAGCGCTGCTTGCCTGGTGTCTGAGGTATGCTAATTAGATTTAGCATCTGTGCCCTTCAGTGTGTGGGTAGAGGGTGTTCTTCGCCGTCAGCCACCATGATTTCAGTAATAGTGTTCTTTTAAGACCTCCCGTCTACTTTCTTGATGATGAGGAAGCAGGTGACGTTTGTATGTGATTAGCTGACATTTAGCTTAGCAGTTAACTGAGTGACCTCAACTTTTACTGTTCAAAAGTTAGAATTTGCATACAGTGCAGGTATCACTGATAGACAGTGGTAGTTCACAGGGTTTGAATTGAGGAGGAGCTTCTGATGGTTCATCCCCATGGGATTCTAGTAGTGTGTCAGTGCTAAGTTAAAGGCAATTCACATGAACTTTTTTATTAGGCTTGTATTAACATTCAGTGATGTATCTAGGACTTGCAGAAGGTCCAGAGTGGTGTTTTTTTCAAAACATGGCTGATTCCTCTGCCACTTTGTAATTAGGCTGAGTCAGTCAGGATTTTCCTTCAGCTCTTGAAATCCTAATCAACAGGACAGCTCACTTAGCTATATCTACATATATACCATGGTGAAAACTATCCATAACTGGCCAGTTTTCCACTGGACATTTTAAGAATTTAACCCTTTTGTTTCCCTCCCAAATTTCACAATGAAAGAAGAGCAGTATGGTAATTTTTGCAGAGGTTAAATACATGGATAATTCTATTAAATAAAAATAAACACAAAAAATTACAGATGTATTTTTTAGTTCATGGAATTGATTAGGCCCTCTCATTCTAACACAGTTTTACCACTAATTGGTCTTAAATACTGGAGTTAATGTAGCCTATATCTGATAATTCAACAACCTATAGCCCTGAAGAGTGGTGTGCAGACTGCTGGTCACATAGCAACACTGATAACAATCTTGCCTAGCTAGTAGTTACTTAAAAGGCAAAGAGAAAGATTTAAGACAAATATCGATCATTTGTAGAGGAATGGACTTATTTGCATTTATAAGCACTGGTTTCTGGATACGTTTTATCTGGAATGAGAAAAAGACAAACACTAAAATGTTCTAATTTGCAAGCTTCTTGTTCAAATTTTTCCATTCCACCTTAAATGGTGCAGCAGTTAGATTCTGGTGCCTCAGGCACCATTTTGGTGGAACGGGA